CAAAAGAGTACTTTTCGTGTACAGTACACCTTCATTACACAATGGAACTAGTAAAAATAAGCCAAAAGATAAACAAATTCCAAGATAAATGTAGTTTGATTTCAGTTAACTTGTAAATGTGTTACTTGATGAGGCAGTCCAGGTGCTACAGGAGAAATTTTTACATTTAAGATACTGACAACTGGAATTTAAGTGGCAAAGCATTATAGTATCAAATTTAATGTATACAATGGATTTTAGTGAAATCAAGATAATTTTACAAAGAGTGTTAGATAATGTGCTAAATAATAAATCTGTTATTCTTGGATAACAAATACTAGGTGCCTAGTATGGTATATGTAAAACCAGCAACTTTGCAAGCTTCACACTATGAGCTATGCAATATAGCAGACTACTATTTTGACTGTATGAACTGATTACATCTCTTTGTATATTTTACACAGTATGATCACTGGAAAATAGTATAGTCTTGTAGCCACCTATTTCTCAGTAATCCTTCTGAAAAATATTACTTTTAAGCAATTTCCCCTTCCCCCCAAAGGTTTGTAATGATTGTACTGTAATGATACAGTAAATAGAACTGCAACTGTGAACTGCTTCACAGAATCTGTATGAAGCAGAGACCATATAAGTACACAGTTATGTTTGTTAATTTGTTCTCAGTCCTAAATATAATAAAGTATAAAGACATTAAGACTTGATCTTACCTTCCTGGCAACTCTAACATTCCACAAATTTGTGGTTCATTGGAGACAATACCTTTTGAAAGAATTGCTGTTTATGTCTTAAAAAAAAAAATCTAGAACTCAAAGCTAAGCAACTACAACAAAGGTATATGACCTCCATAAGTTACTTATTTTAACGTGTTTATTGGATACTAGAAAAATGCAGCCATTCTTAAAATATTGCACATGACATATTTCTCATTCTGATATGGTATCAATTATTGTTCACATTTGTCTTAAATTTTTACAGATCTCTCTGCACAGGACATATTTAATTCCAGTTCAAAAGTGAAAATAGTTTTACGTATGAAATATAAATATAAAATCTCCTTCAATCAAGCCCTACTCTTGGTAACTTCATGGACATAGAAAACATGGAATTGTCTTGCCAAAAAATATGAAAGTTTGTCATTTGACTTCCAGAATTTTCCCTCTGCTTGGTCTAGGTTATTAGTCCTCGGGTTTCTGGGTGGTCTCTCATCCATGTACTAAATTTGAACATATCTAATTTTTTGAGATCAATCAAGATTCTTGACTATTGACTAGGTTCTGTGATCAAAGTATGAACATCTACAAGAAATCCTGAATGTGTATATACTTAAATTAGAGGAGCAATCAGTGCTGGATCTCTCTCTGTTTTCAAAAACATTTTAAAATTCTAATTTTTGTAAATTCTAGACTTGAGCATCTTTGATACAAACTAACAAAGACTTTGTAAACTGATCTTCAAAGTACATTCCTAGAAAGTCACTATTTCTTGCTTTAATCATCCAATATAAATCTAGAAAACCCTGCTTTACTGGTCTAGTATAAAATATTTAGATATAGAAACTGTTCTGTGAATTATTATAAAGAAAAATAGTGTGAACAAATCTATTCCAAATATTCATTTACATAACGAATAAATATACTGACATAGTCAAGGCAGATTAAGAATAAAAACCTCCTGCTACCAGTCTTTACTTCCATTTTGAAAGATCTCAGCTATAAATTAGGTATAGGCCATTTTCTATTATCCTTTTCTCAGATCATTAACAAATGTAATAAAACAAGTAATGCTATTAGTGTTATGCGAAAAATCCCTTGAAATAGGATTTCTATGAAAGTGTGCGTGTGTGTAAAATTGTTAACTACTTGTGAAGAATCTTAAAAAATACATTTAAAACTATGTGAATAATGGTTAACTGAAGTCAAGGTTGAGGAATCTTGAGTTCATATATATGCATACATGTGACAGTGATAAATTGCATTCCTAAGAAGCACAAGTCAACAATATCTACAGAAGTATTTTATCTGGTTTATTTCAGTTATAGCATATTTCTACACATCTAAAACTAATACTTGAGTGCAATAAAAATATATGAGAGAATTAAAAATTCAAACCATAATTATGGAGTTTGTATTTACTAATTATGCCACAGCATACATCAAATATAGCAATTTTCCGTAACTACCAGAATCCTAGTCTTTGACTAACAAAGTTCCTTGACAACTGATTCTTACTGTATTATAGAAGAATTAACAGTATTTAACAGTACAGTAAAATAACATTATGTGTGCATTTTATTGTTACCAATATTAGAAAGACTCTGCCTTTTTCATAAAAGCTAGTACTTTTGCCAGAATGAAGCCTTTTCTTATCACAAACTAAATTATATTTTTCAGCAATGCAGTTCTACAAAGAGACACATAGTATTTGAACATAGGAATCTCATTGTGAATATTAGCTTCTCTGACATTTCCTCAGTTTGAGCTATGGTATATCATAGTATATAACTTTCAACCATGTTAGGATCCAGAAAACTACTGCTACAGTTACTATATTGCAGTTTATCTATAACCATGAACAGAACAGAAAGTAGAAACATTGAAACATCAATTATTTTTCACAAACTGTCATTTGCACAAAAGGGGCTCTGGCCCAGAACAAATTAAAACATCTTTAAAGCTATAAATTCATAATCATTCAGGTGAAATACTCTTTAAGTATTTCAAAAGTAAATACAGCTATAAGAAGGACCAAAACAATGGTCAGGAGTTAACATAGAGAAAACACCATGCCATCTTGTGTCCTTGAGTGGTTTATCATAACACCTGCACCAGCCTCACCAAATGAGACTTAGCCGTAGGCTGTATTTAAATATGCATATCAAAGCAAGCAAAAATAAATCTTGAATAGCAAATTAAAGAAATGCTCATGTTTATCCATTGTAAGTGTCAGGTAAAAATCCACAAATAAACAAGTTTATTCTAGATTTTTATATGCTTATTAAAATTTCAAAAAGCATTATTACCGATTATTAATAGAGTATTACATTTTATATTAATGTGTATGCATGTGTACATTATTCTTATTATTTGTACATTTATCAAATGTATCCTTAGGGTGATGTTAACATACATATCTAATAAGGCATAATTCCCAAATGCTCAACAGTGATATAACTATTAATTTCCCAGTTGGCGTTCTGGTTGCACAAATTATTAGTTCCTTCAAAAAGAGTATCAGGGTGCTAAAGTAAGAATAGTAGAATCCAAATGTCTAGAGCCCTATGTCCTATTATTTACATATGCTTTAAATAATTATAGCTATGGAAGTGGTAAATCCTGACAGGCCTAAATTTGCTCTTTTACTTTTGGAAAGGTTGGAAAAGATTATTTTCTATAAAGATGGTTATATTATAAAATGTGAGTCTCCTGAAACCTCATTTTATCACTATAGTTGAATTTGAATATTATAACAGAGCACTTCAAATTGGCTTGAGAATTCACCATCTGCTCGAGCCCTAAACAGTATAGTTTATGTAATCTCCCTTAATATAAACAGCAGCAAGGTCCATTTCTACACTTCCACTTAAAACAAACTTCCACTAAAAATCTTCTGGGAAGACGTGCAATATTTTATATATACACATTTGGTTCTTTCAGGATGCCTGCCATTCCAGGTCTAATGATCCCATAATTATGTATGCCCTGATTTTAGTTTTAAACAATAAATATTTTTGAAACTATGATATTGCTTCATAGAGCTTAGTAGATATAAATTATATAACAGAACTTTAAGGAAACATTCAGTGTTTCCTTGCTTATATGCTCTGACGGTAATAATTATAAAATGTCATGAAATCTGGACTTGGGAGATTTCCAAAGAAACAAAAACATTTCTATTTATTTAAATATAAAAATGGTCCATAACAAATTAGTATTTTTTCTGTTGTTATTAAGTATTGTCAACAAATATAACACAAAAGCAAATATTTAACTTTCTGATAACACATTTTGAAAAGAGAAAGAAAACAAGTAGACAATATTTTTTATTTTTTATTTACTTTTCATGGCAGACTAAAACTTATTATAGATTCCTGTACATAGTACAGGAATCCCTTGTCACATGTTAGAATAATGTTCCTGGTATGCTATTCTTAGTTTATATCACTTGTTTTATGAAGTTATTTACAATGCCTGTGTAAACTTTCCACTCTCCACTCTTAGAAATAAGCTATTATTCACACTTGAACACTATGTGTCTATTTATACATTTCTAAAGTAAATAAACTTATTAACATACGTAACAGGTTTTCATAAGCATTTCTATAAAGCATTAACAGCTCATGTAAAATGCCAATATATTTGTGCATATTCAACAAAAACAACTCACTGAGCTACTCCTAAAGTGTTAAAACCAACAGCTAATGTGTAGTTACTCAGTCATAATTATTTGCAGCTTCTAAAAGATATTGTAAATAATTGGCATCTCAAGATTATTGAAATTTATTATGAAGCTTCAGCCACTTGGCAAGATGTGCAAATTTCAGTGATAAGTTGCAATAGAAGAAGTAGTGTTATTATTTATAACTTTGGCTCAAAGTAGTATACAATAGCTAATAATTCTGCCTGGATAAAGTATGGAAGAAATCCCATTTTTAAATAACTGAGTATTTTTAATTTTCTTTTCTTTTTTGGTTATAACATTAATAACAAGAATTATAAAGCAGTAAATATTATCTATTTTTACTAGACAGTTTGTCAACTCTTCAATTTATCAATGTTGTAAACTTTACAAGACAGAACTTATACTTCTCAGTAATAAAATACAAAGGAATATTCTTCCATCAGAAACTTAGATTTACACCATAGCTCTGCAACAGGTAACAGAGGTGAATCTAAAGCAAACAATTCCAATACACAGGTGATGGTAAGAAAATCCTTAATTAATAACAGTCCAGGAGTTTACTAAATGGGCAAGAGCCATTACAAATTATTGAAAAGACTTACATGGTCAGCTAAATTTGTGGATGATCCTGAGAGTTCTTCATGGTCAGATTTGGAGCTGCCATCTCTTTCATCAATAACTAGGTCTATGGGCATTTTGCCTTTCAGACAGCTAATGTACCGATGGCAGAAATTATCACACAATTCATGAACCTGAATGTAACATTTAAGTAAAGGAAGAGAAAAAAAGAGATGCATTTTTAAAAGAGGGAGAAAACAAAACTTCTAGACTGCAACTTGATCTCCCCCCTTGAAAAAAAAAAAGCACTGTGATCTATTCTAAGAGTAACTCTAATTAAGAGGCATATAGTTGAAGCAAGGAAACAATAGAGAAATTGTTACAGCACATATTATTCCCCAGAGACTTGTTTGAGCAACAAGTTGGGGGATGCACAGCTATTAAACGTTAGCCTATTCTATAGATAGAAGACAATCCAATTTCAGGATATTATCAGAAGCACTGAGATCTGGATAAATAAAATATAAAAACATAAGGGAGTTCAGCCAAGAAAAGTGAAAGGAGGTGGGGAGAGAGCAGTGTATATATTTTGAAATCTCTAGATGAGTAAGGAAACATATTTAGTATAAAGTAATTTTCTTGTAGTATTTAGTCTTTCATGTAATCTGAATAAGTTGCTTAAAATATTATTTCTGGCTCAAATATTTGCAAGAAGGAACCAAGACAGAGAAGGAAAGGACATAGCAGATACTTGAATGAAGGTAGGAAAGAATGGAGAAATTTCAGGGGTGGGGGAAGAGGGGGGTTTAGAAAAAAAGAAAAGAAAAAGAACCATGCACTTTTGGTTTAGTGTCAGGATGTGCTTTGTACCAGTTACAGTGTCCTTTTGAATTTCCCCAGAGGAGAAAAAGGAAAAGAAAAAGAGGGAGTGCCCTCCCTTGCTCTTACCTTTTCTAATTCCAAAAGATGAAACCTTAAGACTTGTATCGCTTGTATCATCTGAAAGAAAACAGGGAGCAGAGGAATTGTCATATAAGGGAGAGAAGGAGGCAAGTCAAGGAGTGGGGGATTGTCAGGGCATGCTCTCATTATCCAGGATTTTAGCTCTTTGGACACACTTGAGCAATTTTGATCATCAACTTTAACCTAAAGCACTTGATTTTTTTTTTAAAAAAAAAACATCAAATCACACATAAATACACATACACACTTAAAGAAAAACAGCGATAAGTGGTTTGCCAAGATGTCATCCCCTGTGGTTTTTTTAAAGTCTGCAAAGCAACCAAGTGCTAAACATCCACTCACCACTCCATCCATTTTTTAAAAAGAAAAAACAAAGAAGGCAAGGTGAAATGGCTTCAAATGGATGATCTGCCTTCACCTCTTTTTTTCAAGTGGATTTTCATTAGTTTTAATATTAAAATTGGACAAATTAGCAAAAGAAACAGACTCAGCAGCTTCAAACTCTTTTCTGAAGCCACGATTTCCTTCTCTTTTGCTTCTCAGGGCTTAAACCCAGCTTTGCAACAAATTAGGAGCTCAAGTATCTGTTGTCCTCCCCTTTCTATGTCAAGAATTTTAGTTCCTTGAAGCTGCTGGGTAAGAATAATTTCTTTTTCTTTCAGATTCTTGGCACCTCTACACGCATTTTTCCACGTCCTTCTTTGTATTAATTATTTTATTTTAACGAAGGCCAAGCACGTGGGGTCTCCCAGAGCATAAGAGGTCAAAATAAAAACAGACAGAACCTTACCAAATTATCCAATTCTGGATTTGAAGAAAAAAGTGGTTTTTCTGCCCGAACCTACATGGGAGGGGGAGGGGGGAAGAGTGAGTAGGAATCAGTGTGTATTTCAGCTACCTTAAAAACTCCCTATTTGTTGGGCCTGTGCCCCCACCACACCTCACAGTCTAGTTGTAACAGATCAAAACATGAATTAGTGGCAAGTTCTTTTCAATGCCAAAGAGACATTTGAAAACTTAGGCCACTCGGGGCCACCATCATTCTTCCAGTCCCACACAAGCTTCCTTCTCGCCCAGTTCACAATTTCAAGAGGGCTGAGAAATGGGCCTAACAGCCCTCAAATTTATCCCCCCTTCTCAACATCCTCTTTTAACAATGCCCCCCCCTTCTGTGAGTTAAGGGAATCCTAGAAGGTCTCCCAGCAGACCTTTCTTGCAGCCAGAAGGGAAGAGGAAAATGGGGATAATAGAGAGGTGCTGAAGCAGAAGGGAAAGGCACCCAGACCCAGATTTCCCGGAACATTTTCCCTCAGACGCTCCAAAGCTCCCTCAGAGCAAGCGTTGCCCTCCCCTTTCCCCAAGGCCTCGTCGCGCGGGCCTTCTGCAGGGGTTCCTTCTGAGGGGAAAGGGGGGGGTGTCTTTGGTTTGAGGTGTCGCGCGCTCATGGTGGGGGCTGGGTGTGCGGGGAAGGGGCGGGGAAAAGCGGGGAGGGAAAGATTTTCGACCTGTTTGGCGAAGACGGCGATGTCCTCGTTGAAGGAGTCGGAGGAGCAGACGTCTCCGCCGGCCACTCCGGGCTCTCGGGGAGTGCAGGTGGCGAGCTCGCACTTTTCAAAGACCAGAGCTAACAGAGGGAACAACGGGTGCCTGCCGGACGACGACATACAAAGAGAAAAGGAGGGGAGAACGACATTAAGAGGGGGGGGGGAAACGACCGGGAGGGGTGGAAAGATCTAATCAACAAGTTTCTTCAAAAATAAAAGAAACACAACCTATTTCCACGCGCAAGCTTCACGTCCCTCAACCTTCCGATAGACTAAAGGAAGAAACAACACTGAGGCAAACATAAAAAGTAACACAACACATGCTCCCCACAATAATCCTGGGCCAGAACCGAACTCCACAAACCCATGTGCGCCCAACAAACACAATTACCCAGCCCCAGGTTGCGCTGTGAAAAGTGTCGAAACCTAGCAAAGAAACTCGCAGAGCCTTCGTGCCGAAGACACGACAGTACCAAACGCTGGAAGGCTTGATTTTTACCCAAAGTCTAGAGCCGTTTCTTAGTTTGATGAGAAGTAACAAGAGCCGCGCTATCTGGGAAGGAAAGGAGAGGAGGGAAGAAGGGGATCCCGGGGCGGTGGAGGCTGAAGAAATGCGTCCAGATTAAATATCGACTGCCCCGCCATAAAAGAGAAGAAAGACTGAATAAATTCCTCCCCATTGTCCGGCCAGATACTGCCTGGGGATCAGTGCGTTAAACCAGTAAATCCTTTTCCTAAATCTTTCCTTCTAGTGTTAGTTGTGTCGCAAGGGCTGTTATTGCAAGCTTTAAAGAAGGAAAGAAATACGTCAGCTAAATAAAACTTTGCTGAGGGGAATGCATTTCCCCCAATCTTCACATACCGCCACCCCAGCTTTGTTTTCAAGAACTAACCCACATTTTACTTTGATTAATTCTGCATTTACAGAGCAACGTCTAAATAAATAAACAGCACAATCTCAGCTGATTTCAGTTGAATTTGCATGTGTGTAAATGAGTCTGGGGAAACCAGGCTTTGTTTTCATTTCTAAGAACAGGGAAGAAAATATTTTAAAAAGCTCTTAAGTAACTGCCTTAAAGATTGGGGCGTCCGAAGAATAGAGCAGCTTAGCCATACCGCTTTCACTAAAATCTGAACGCATTTTCAGCGTGTCAAAATAACACGCCCCCGTCAATCCCTGCATCCTCCGTGAGATTTCTTACCTGAACTTTCCCATATATTTGTGTCGCTTTTAACTTTATCGACTAAAATGTGTTTATTACCTACAGAAATGCAGAAAGGGATCTATCGTGATCTATAGTGATAAATTACACGAGTCCTCTAGATTTCAGGAAGAAAACCCGAGGAGGATTTTAGGAAGGGGAGATTGTTTAAAAAGCACAGTACAGTTCTCCCCAAAAATCTTGTGCCTACCGAACTCCTTCTACAGGCCGGCTATTCCTCTACCTGCCCTCTTTCCTGAAAGAGACGATCTCCCCGGCCCTTTGCATACATACACACACACATCACATATGCTGCAAGGAAAGGGCCACAGCGCCTGGTTTGCCTTGCTTTGTACCTACCCATAGATTGCATCCTTGTCCCGCTTCAAGGCGTCATTGACAGCCGATCCCATGCTGGCCGGCATGACATTGGGATGCGGGGCATGGGCTCCATAATGCTGGCTGGCATGCAGTGGCGGCCCGTGGTTCAAATGGTGTACTGGGGGGATCGGCCTGGGAGCGTGAGGGTCTCCATACATGGAAGCAGGTACCCCTACTCCGTCCATCCCGCCGTAATGAGGCAGCTCATCGTACTGTCAAAAAGAAAATGGGCCAGAAAAGGAAGGGAATAGAACCAGAAGAAGAGAGAGGAAAGCGAGAAAGAAAGAGGGTGAAAAGGGGAGAAATAAACAAAAACAAAACAAAACAAAAACAACAGAAGTCAGAAGAGAGTAAAGCACCCAGGCAAGTCAGACAAAACAGCAAAACTACAAACCAGGACCAGCCACAACAGAGAGGAAAGCGATACAAACTGAAATTAAAATAAAAAGTGCAGTCGACAGAGCTGGGGGGGGGGGGGGGGGGGGGAAGAAGGGGGGGGGGAATGTGTGTGTATGTGAGCCTGTGGTGGGGAAAGCTCTATCGAGGGCAAAATACGGGAAGGGGAAGTGTGAAAGGGAAGAAGGAGGAAACCGTCTACGAATGAGAGGAGACGGGGCCACAGATAAACGAACACCCCACCGGTAACTAGATTAATGCTACGGAGTAGGAAGGGTTAGCAAGGCTGAGAAGGGAGAGAAGAGCGCGAGAGAAAGGGAGCAAATAATCTGAAAGTTACCAGAAACATTATTTAGTCGCAATTCCCCCTCGTCCTTGTCAAAATCAGAGATAAACCAAGCAGCAACTGTAGCTGTATTTCCCAGGCAGCGGCAGCAACAGCCACAGCAGCAGAAGCGGCGGCGGCGGCGGCAGCAGCAGCAGCAGGCAAACCTTCCCCCCTGTAAACCGCGCGCCACTGAGCAGTTAGAGAGGAGCAGGGAAATCGCGCTGTTGGGGGAAAAGCTACAGAGGAAAGAAGCGTGGAACAATTGCACACACACGCACGCACACACACACACAGAGGGAGACAGACAGACAGACAGACACACACACACACCCAGAGAGAGAGAGGGAGAGAGAGAGAGAGAGGGAAAGAAAGAGAGACATAGAGGCACAGGCACACACAAAACCAGTGAATAATTTTTGCTGCTATTTGTTTTGTTTCTCTAAATAGTGGCCGCCATGAGCAGCAGCAACGGGGAAAGAGCAAATCCGACAGGCCCCTCTTAAGAAAGGATTTATACGTAAGGTAAGTGTTGGAGATTTAAACCTACCCTTTGCGCCATCAGTCTGCGCTCCAATAAACTCCGGGACGTGTCCTATATTTAATATCCCAGTCCAGTAACAACACCAACAAAGTGACTGAAGAAGAAGGAAAGGAAGAAAAAAAAATCCCTTTTTCCCTTGTTTGTCAGACCCACTTATAGAGTTCTCCAATGCGCGTAAATATTCATAAAGACAATCGTTATAACAATAAAAAGTAGGGAAAAATAAACCACGTAGAGTTTGTCTGTTTCCCCAGCGAGCTCTTCTTTATTTCCCTTTTCTGTGTCTTTCCTTTTTTTCTTCTTTTACGTAAAAAAAATATGATGGTATTTTTTTTAAAAAAAAATAAACATAAAAGTCACCAAGCACCACACTGAAGGTTACGATCGGCCCGTCAGCAACCCACATGTAACCAAACTGTCGTGTTTCATGGCTTTTTGCCACTCCAGCTGTCAATCAAAGCCATGGAATGTCAAGGTAGTGAATGAATGATGGCTGATGATGATGATGATGATGATGAAGAAGAGGAAGAAGAAGAAGGAGAAGAAGAAGAAAAAGAAGAAGAAAAGGGGAATCTTTTAACCTCGGATTCTTCTCTCAGTAAGTCCGCGTTTGGGGTTTTGCTTGTAGGAAAGCTATAGGTTCTTAAAAAAAAAAAAAAGCTACCGGGAGGGGGGAGGGTGGGGTAGGATGCGAAGAAAAATGGAATAGTTTGCAAAACGTGGACTTCCTCCGTTCTTTTTGTGTGCGTGCTTGGGTGAGTGTGTGTGTGCGCGCGCGTTGTTTCCCCCCCCCCTCCCGGTAGGTATTTTGTCTTCCCTCTTCACCTCTCCCTCCGAGATGAGTGAGTGTCAGTAAGTGTTGGCAGGTTGGCTGCTGGCTGGCTTATAGAAGAGGCTCAGTTTTGCGGCGCTGATCGGCGGGAGAATGAAATGACGGAACCCGGAAGTAGTGGTGGCCATAGCCAGTCCTACAAGAGAGAGACACATACAAGGGAGAGGGGAGAGGGAGAAGAGAGTGAGAGAGAGAGAGAGAGAGCGGGAGAAAACGGGCGAGCCAGCTCGCGCTTACAGTCTGCGCTACGCAGAGTATGCAATCAGGGCTGTTTCCACGCCAGCCGGGCTGGTGAGGCGGGGGCGCGATGCAGCGCGTTCAGAAATCTCCACCAAGCCGGGGTCGCCTTTCCGGAGAGGCACGGAAAAAAGTGGAAGATACAGAGGGAGTCTCGGGAGGTGGAAGAAGAAAACGGAGGAGGAGGAGGAGGAAGAGAAGAAGCAGGAGAGGGAGCAAAAAAAAAAAAAAAAAAAAGACAGAAAGGAGGGGGGGCTGCTGGGTGCGTGCGTGCGTGGGAACTACAAACAGCCCGGAGGAGGAGGAGGAGGGGGGGGGAAGTATCCTTAGAAGCCTAGATCTGTTGCTTTTTTTTTTTCTTTTTTTAATGGAGAGATTTTACCCTTCGATATCCTCCTTTGCCTGGGCAGGCTGCTTAGCCATCGCTTCGCCTGGTGTACGTTGCTCTCTTCTTCGGAGGGGAAACTCTCAGTCCTGCAAGGATCCAGTGTCCAGGAGACGAGCCGAAGAAACTCGGGCGCTGGCGATTGTTTGGAAAGAGGCGCGGGCAAACTTGTTCCGCCAGCGGAAACTCCTAGCCTGCCTTAAACAAAGTCCGCCATCCTTGTCAGTAGAGTGCATTCAACACTGCGCCGCATGTTTCCTTCTCTGTGTGAAACTCGCTACCTTTCGCGGTTGCTGTTACTCAGAATAATTTTCCTGGAGGGGGAGCGCTCGGTTCTCTGTGCTCGGTTCCCTCAACGCTGCTGTACCAGACGAGGGTCTACGCAGAGGAATGTGGGAGAGAGGGAAGGAAAGGAAGAGGCATCCTTTTAGGCTGGGCTTTGGCGCTGCTTGGGCGTTATAAAGCGAGGAGAAAATCCCCCCCCTTTCTCTCTTTTATTCCAAATTGTATGTGTGTGTGTGTATTATTGCACTTTTTATAATTGTGACTAATACCTCCTTCGGGTGCCTTCCTGAGCACGCTTTGCTTGTTCTTTTGTAGAATCTGTATTCTTTAACTGGGGAGGTTATTATTATTATTATTCTCTGTTCAAAATAACGTAAAGTCACAGCTATTGTTGTATTATGCTGCAGAACTAGTGCGATGGTGCCCTCTGGTTCCTACGACCAAGTGAACTTTTGAAAACACACCCAGCAGACTTTCGCGGCCCGTCTTACTTCTCTCTCTCTCTCTCTCCCACAAGCACTCACAAGCGCTACCTACCACGTTAATTTTGGTGAGGGGTGTGTGTGCGCGTGTGTGTGCGCGCGCACGAGTGTGTGCAACCTCCTCCAATCGCTTTGCTGGAACCGAAACATGCCTTACCTCAGAGCAGTCAATTACCAAAGCTACCCGAGATCATCAATCATGGGGGAATGCTTCAAGTTAAGGGGGAGGAGCAATGGTCAAACTATTGATTGCTGCAGTTTTGTACTCTCTCTCCCTCCCTCCTGCTCTCTCTCTCTCTCTCACACACACACATTCTCTCTCTCTCCCCCCACACACATAAAATCTAAACCAGGCTATGCTGGTAATGGTGGGATTTATCAATGATTACTTGTGAATTTTACGGCCTCGTACTGCGGCAGCCATGCATTTTAGACTGGATTCCGTCGAGAAAAAGAGAGTGGGAAAGGGACAGGACGGGACAGAGGCAGTTCTCGGGGGGCAGGTCCCGGGGAGAAAGAAAGAAAGAAAGTTGGGGAGGAAAAGCGAAATCCGCCAAAGGCACGGGGAGGAAGGAACGCAGCCAATCTTTTCTGGGCTAGGGAACTAGCTCCCGAGGTCAACGGAGCTCTCCAAAATGATGAATGATTGAGTACCTGCGATGATGATAGTGATTACCGGAGCAATTAAACAGTTTGATTAAATGAGCCATCATAACAATGCTGTCTGCGGGATATCAGCCCTCGCTTATAAAGAAATATAGAGCACAGGGAGAGAAAGAGAGAGGTTTGAGGAACGCCACCGGGCAACGGCTTCGCTTCCCGGGAGCGCTTAGCCTGGCAAGCCTGGCAGCTTGAGCTCAGTCCCCGAACCGGCAGGCGAAAGAGCTGGAAAAACGAACCGGCGAGACTTTTTAAAGCTTGACTTGCGCGCTCGTTTGAAGCTCCGAGGAGCCACCTTGGGAGGGGGTGGGGGGTCTGCTTTTACTTGTTCTACCCCCTTCTCCCCTCCCCGCTTTTCTTTTCTCCTAGAAGACTTCTCCCAAGATTCAAGCGATTCTTAGGAGCAGCCGCTAGCTACCCTCTGTGGCTGGTTCGCCCGGCTCTTGCGCAGAAAGGTGAGTAAAACCGCCCCTCAGCACGTCGCTTTCTTTCAAGCTGCGTTTAAATCGGTTCCTTTACAAAACGGACTTATTCGGGGGCGAAGGGGGTGGGTGGGTAGTCCTACCGTATTTTCTTCTCTGTCGTAGAAATCGGTAACGCGCTTCAAGACATTCTTGGTAATGAATACTTGGCTAATCCTTTGGGTGCCCGGAGACCTATAGAGCAGTGGGTTATGCAAATCCTTTCCTACTTTTGCAGCTGAACCTTTCTAAGAGGTTGCTTTAAAAGAGATCTACTTTGTCAGGAATGGACTTTCTGAGCTTTCCCACCCCCCCACCCCCCCCCCCCCCCAAAAATGTCACTTTCCTAAATTCTTTGGGAATCGCATTGTTGCAATATTGCCAATCCAATTCCTCATTATAGAACACGATGGGTTTTTAAAAAATCTGTTTTCTATTAAAAAAAAAAACACATACCCGACCAGGACTATATTTGTCGGTTTAGATCGATTTAGCTAGAAGTGGGAACGGCTTTGCCGCCAGGCCCCCCCCCCCTTTTTTTTAAAATGCAGCTCCATGAGTAACTTTTCTGTACTAAGGCTGGATGTATTGGATAGAGTAAATGAATGTTATTGCAAAAAGATCTCCGTATACCACTTAAACTTGTATACCAGAAATCTTTAAAAACATCTAAAATGTGAATGGAAAGAGATACTTGCAGGCTCCAGTAATGCTTCTTTCATTTCTGTTGCTCCCCTCCCTAATTGAATCATTCCTGTTATATTTCAGTTCTTTTTAAAATGCCTGGATATATATTTTGGTTTCCTAGGAGATTTGAAGTTACTCTGAAAAATGTTAAAACAAAGAGGCAACAAACAAAAAGATTACAAAGTATTTCATTATTTCTTGTGACAAATCTAAAACAACAAAATGATTTCTTTCATACTTTTTTGTGAAAAATCTAAAAAAAATATATTCCTGTCACATGTCTATTTAAAAACCTTCAGGTAGGTATCTGAGAGCATTAATTGTCTTAATTTAGAACAAGACGTTAATTGTGTGTGTGTGTGTATCTATATATTGGAATATATATATACACACACACACACTCACATGTAATTGGTTTTGGAATTCTGAATCTAACTTAAAAAGGAAGAAAATAGTTACATTTGCAGGAGGTTGTGGCAGGATGGATATAATATTTGTGTTGAAGCTGTGAATTCTTACTGCATTTTTAAGCAAGTTTCTTCAGAAATCAGGCCCGCAATTTTCAGTGGGACTTTCTCCTGGAACTGCAGCTATAATGACTTTTAAGATAACTGATCTTGTTGAAAAATGCCCAATTTTTTTTAAAAAATTCCAAGTAATGTCAGTCATCATTACCATCAAATCAGGAATCCTGTGTAGAAATGTATCTCTGTCAAACAGTTCTTGCTCCAACCCAAAATCCAGTTTGCTCTTTCTTTTCTTTTCTTTTCTTTTCTTTTCTTTTCTTTTCTTTTCTTTTCTTTTCTTTTCTTTTCTTTTCTTTCTTTCTTTCTTTCTTTCTTTCTTTCTTCCTTTCTTCCTTTCTTCCTTTCTTCCTTCCTTTCGGCTGGAAATGGTTTTAACAGGCGGTAAAATTTCATCTTGTGGTGTCAAATTGGGGTCAGTTTGGGGTGAGGGTTCTCAGTGTCCGGGAAGGAGCTGTCCAGCTGTGTTAGGATTCATTAAGGGCAAAAGATCTGTTTCAAGAAAAACAATACAGACACAATCAGGAGGCTAAAGATCCTCTCCAATTTGCTTTTTGCAAGTGTGCTAGCGCAAATATATAGATATACCGAGACTCAGCATCTCTTCAAACTTCCCAACCAGCTTCTTTCTTAGGAGAAAATCAAAATGTATTTTGAACAAGTAGACGTTGCAGAGGATGATAGCGTCTTGACCATTTGGAAGTCTTTTTATTATTTTTAAAATATGCTCTCTTTTGCAAAGGTGACTCATCCAACAGGTAACACGGTTGATTCTGAAAGTATATATGTATTTTTATTTCAAATTTGCTCCCTTGAAGTGCTCTGTAAATAGAAGGGGATTTGGACAAAGTAGGCTGAGATGAGACGTTACTAAAAATCCAGAATAGTTTTTTTTTTTTTTTTTTACTGCTATGGATAGATGCTGTCTGAAACCATCAATGTAGGATTTC